TATTAAGTAGTCCCTTTTTTATTAGAAACACCTGTTCTTGTTGTTGTAAGGGGAACTTGAACACCATAATTTCTCGCTGTTTCGTTTATACTTGTTTTAATTAAAAAATACCATTCTTCAAAGAGGCTATTTTAAACTAGAGCCAAGGAAACGAGATCGTATAACAAAAGAAGAAATAATTTTATAACTAATAATAGTAATGATAAAAGCAATAATAATTTTAATATTTCTGCATTTTAAAACAATTTATATCATTATACAACGTCCTTTTTAGTAATAAGGCATTGTTATTAATAATCATGATTTTTATAACTACCAGATAGCTACCTTTTGGCGTAATACAATACACCTATAACAACAACTATAAAATTATACCAGATAGAAAGTAGCAAAATTTCCTTTTTTGGTTTCCGATGAAGCAAATCTTTTCAAGAGCTACATATTTTATTTTCTATAACGTTCAGCAAAGCACATGTTCCATGCAGCCGGAAAGTGGCGTTGCTTAAATGGAATTGCGAAAACGAAAGACTATGGAAAGACAGTTTTATTGCCTAGAGCAGATTCTGCAACAAGATGACAATAGCCTGAACTTGCTCATAGTTTGATGGAAACGTATATGGAAGATACCAACCAACCTTTAAATGGAAAATAAAACCCACGACATGCTTAAGTTCTTAATTAAGAATATTATATTCATTTTACGGCTCGTGACTCTAATCGTACGCGTGCCGGGCATTAAAGTGATCTAGAAAGTTCGAGTAGCTGTCGAAACAAATCGCCTGTTCCGATTCCAATCCGAACACGCACCGAAATGAAGACGACAACAAGTTCCGCCTTTTGTTGGCGCCAGAAAAGGTAGATATAAGAAAACTGAAAACGTTGCACTGTTCTTGCTCAGTTAAAACTGCATCTACAAGTTTTGACTTTCACTGAAAATCTTTTTGTTACGGTGGTTGTCTGTGTTTTTAGCAGAGGCTGGGTTTTGAACCTTTATATTTTGTGGGCGTGTTATCGAGTATATTAACATTGAATCTAACATTCACTAGCAAACGGTGTTTCCCTACAGATCTTTGTTATGTGATCAAATATGGCAGCTATTTCAAAGTGCTGATGTACACTCTTTCCCCATGAACCGTACTACAGATTTTTTTTTGTTTGAAATTTCCGATTCCGGAATTATTTTGGGTGGCTTGATTTAAGTAGGGATTTTTGGGGGTGTTAAAAACGATTTGAAGATTCGTAGTGTACTCTTATACCCGGCCGCCACAATTCTGCGAAAACACTACAACCAAACTTCAGTTTGCTTTCTGGAAATTTTTAAGGCTTGAAAAAAATCGGCGTGGGGTTTTTGGGGGTGAATTTTGGGTCCAGAGATTTTTGGGGGTTTTGTTGGAAGCCCTAGGGATTTTGGGGGGGCTTTGATTTTTGCACCCATTCGATCATCCCCGTCACTACAGGATTCGGATTTCCCCCCCCCCCCGTCTCCTGGGAATACAACGTAATAAGTTGACACAGGAAGTTCTAAGTTCCTCATTTACAAGGGTCTGAAATACTTGTTTGTCACGCAAAATAACCCGTCCTTTAGTCGAAACAAATGCTACAACCTTTTAGGCCTAAGGGCTGTAACATTTAATTTACCTTTGACTAATGAACGGTTATTACTGATAAAATTTTGTCTGAAACTCAACTTAAGCACAAACTTTTTGTCAACATTTTGTCGTCGGCAACACAAAGTGCAACACAACATCTTAATTCCCTTAGTCATGTGTTCAGACAGTCGTTCAGTGAAGAGCGACCCGTGGCTATGACTAAAATCTCTCAACGTCAACTGCTGTTTTAATTCCGCCAACTACTTTCTTACTGAATGGGACGGGATATGATGTAGTCTGGGCGGCATGCCTTTTAGCAAAACGCATCAACAAAAACTGAGCGGAGGGGAATCTTTTTAGTACATCCGCCGGATCTCTATAAGTACAAACTCCTAAACTTAGGCGTTATACTCTGTCTTAAGTGTTGCAAGTGAACTAAAAGACCTCATAAGTGAAAGCAAGGGGCGGATCCGGGACCTTTTTTATGTCGGTAAGAGGGTAGGGTAGCCTGAGAAAACAGCCGACATTTGGCGACGCTACCACTGGTTTCGCAGCCACTACGGAGATACCCCGCCGTAAAGACGGGTAGGTGCCTTTTTCAGGCTTCAGTTATCATGAAAGTGTAGGAAGTTCACTAGTTGAAGTATAAGAAAGGGGAGGGAAATTTGTCATTACGGTCGGTAAATTGACCTAAAACAGTATGGGCTCCTGTCTAAAAGGGCTACAGAAGAATGGTGGTGAAAAAGTTGAGAAAATTTTCTGGTTTTGTCATTTATTCATTTTTAAATAACTGCGCATTTACAGCAGTTTAAAAGGGATGCAAGGTTCTAAACTAGGTATGTGAAAGGGGAACCATTTTTCAATGGAAGTTATACGAAAGAGGTAGCTTTTTCTGTTAAAAATGATATATGAAAGGGTAAGCTAAGGTGGGGGACCTCGCGGTGGAGCCTCGCAGTATAAACCTTTCTTGAGTACCCTCTCACCCCGGGTTCGCCACTGACTAAGTTTTCACGCGACAGGAATCACCCGCCTTCAGATATTGCATACATACTGATTGTTCAGCTTGAAGTCAAGTGTCAAGAGGCTGTATATTATCTCACTGGTGTGGTTTCCCGCTCCATTTCCCGTGCTTTTAACAATTCATGCCTTTGTTTTCCTTCCTGCTAACACAAAAAACCGGGGTAGTCAGTGTTTATTTTCGACATACTGAACTAAAGGGAAATGATTTCTCCACTCTGAAAAATCTCGTTTGACATGTGCGGCATGAAGTGCCGAATTGACAAGACAACTTCCGTTTTGTTTTGAACTAAATTTGGGAGAACTGAGAAAATTCATTAAGTTGTAACGTCGTTAATTCTGAGTAAGTTCTGTTTGGCGGATTCCTAGAGAAAGGTAAGCGGCATTGCTCATTTTCAAATATTTTATCTTCCGTTCTCAACACTCTTACTTCGTTTCAAAGTTTTTTATTGATGTCCGCTTTCTCTTCGCCGGCCCTAACTTTTGAATCAGGTACTGTCATTACGATCGAATACAACAAGGCAAACATTTAAGACATTTAACAATTTTCGCCATTTTCCCGGCTCTGTTTAAATAACTTTCTAAACTTGCCGTAATTTTAGGTATCTAAGCTGGTTATCTGCTGGCGATAAGGGATGACATCTGATGAAACAAATCTGCCGGAGGAGATATTATAGCGTAGCAGATTTGCAAATGCATCGCGCATCACATTATGACTGTGTATCTTCTTAAACTATGTCAGTTTTGTTCAACATCCATCTACAAACAAGATTGTTTACCATGCAAAGACAGAGAGAAAGATCCTTCTTTACAGTCATTTCTAAGTCATTACCGGCAATTTTATTTTGGAGAGTCTACAATTGGATTAGCGTTTTATTTTTAAATTAGTACGTGCATAAATTACTTCGCGTGACGGCACTTAAACACGTACGCATGTTGTCTTTTGACGTACCGTACGCCTCCGAATCTGCGAGAAACCAACCTTTACCAAGTCACGTATCTGTGTTCGAAATTAATCCACAAGTTTAATCATCTATGATGAAGATTTTGGTCTTGACACAGCTTTGCGATGCTCGTCATTTTGCTGTGTGTAAGTTGTTTCCGCTTAATTTCTGCGGTTAAAACCCCACCACGCATGAGTACTGTCGCATTTCGAAAGAGATCACCTTATGCTTACGCATCGAGTTGGAATAAGCGTCCATTTTAGTTTACATTCTCGATCGAGAGATAACTGCAGCAGACGTGACCTCCTTAAACAGAATTACGTGGCAGCACCAGCCAGTAAAGGGTGGGTTTGGGTGAGGTGTCGAATCCAGCAAAACAATATTTATGACAATAACTGGCTTAAGTGACCCACCAGTGCCCTGCTTGTTGACCTTTCTGTTACCTACACACTCAAAATAGCTTCCAGTCTCATTATTTTAACACCCCTTCTCAGCAACAGTTTGCCTTGTGCATGTGTCTGTTGTGGTAAAGAAACGGAGGGCCAATCTGGACTTACCCAACTAAGACACTATTTACTTTATAACACCAACTAACATGTACAGATTTATAGACTTAAAATGACTATGTAAACAGTTTGAATGTCCACGGCCCTGTTCTGCTCGATCGATTTCTCCCGTTTCGTCTCTACGTTTTTACTGTTCCGGTTGAGTTTTCCTAGTATATTGACAACATTTGGCAAGTCGGAAAAAAAAAGAAAGAAATAGACTGCGATAGGTGTAAAAAAATGGACAAATAGTCCTCTAGAACATAAAGTAAACCTCGGCTACAATAATATGTGTAAATTACATAAGCTGACGATTTTTCTTTGTGTGTGATTCACCTGTTCGTATGTGATTTTTAACAGCAATGAGAAAATGCTCGTCGATCAGCCCTACACATCAAACAATTAAAGCAGTTCAGAATTTGACATAAACAAAAAACTTAACAAAAAAAACCAAAGGTGTTATGTTAACTCCTGAGTCAGCACAGGATATGAAAAATTTCCGAAGAACAACGTGAGCAGTTGGACACTGTTAGATGACGGCTAAGTGAAGTGAACCCACCGGTGGCAGAATAAAAATTACACAAAGCGATGAACAAAACAAAACTTAGTTTTCATGAGCTTGCACGTATTTTTCTATATGCTGCAACTTTAGGAATATCTTTTTGTTTTTGTTTTTTTCACAAACGTGCACATTTTGCAACAATTTCTGTATCAGCTGTGACAGTTCCTTCTACATAACGCCGGAACTTTCGTTTGACGTCATCATGTCATATGAATTTGGTCGGTCCCTGTTGTCGTACACAATCAAGCAAAGGCGCGTGACACAAAAGCACGGTTTTGTGTAGTAGGAGAGACTTGAATTTGCAATTTTTTTCGGTTTCCTGGACTTTTTTCAAGATTGGGCAACAAGAGAACTTGAGGTGAGCTTAAGGAGTGCTTTAACAAAGTGAAAAGTTTTGTCTGCGATCAGTGTGCGATAACACTGATTCAGCCTTCAGGTGCGTTTGAACGCTAATGCGGTTATAGTTATTGCAGCCATTTCCATGCACAAACTCAAGTTAAAAATAGTAGAAGCGAACAATTTAAGTTTAAAAAAAGACAAACACAAAAGAGTGACTGTTCTATTTTGCCACACCGTTTTCTGAATGACTCAGGCTAGCTTAAAAAAGCCAACAAAGCAACACGCCTTTGGTCTTATCATTGTCTACCGCTCTGATTAGGGTTTGTTAGGAATACTGATTTCTTGCCATAGTTCACACAAACACATCAAAGCTTCAAAGATCTTGGTAAAAATCCAGTAATGCACCTCAACACCGCACAGCCATATTACCGAAGCTGTTTACAGCGGAATTGCTTTTATCTGAAAATTCTTTTCTCTTCCTGTTTATACTATTTTTGCCTCCCGCACATTTTTCCTGTACACAAAATTTTATCCGCGGGCCCTGTTTTTATCGATAATTAGTGTTTGCAGTTTGCTAAATTTCCTTACCTTGGTAAGGCAAAACTAGAATTGCCCTTTTTTCTTCTGTTTCATCATTTGACGTCGTTTATAATATACACAGTAATTTCCATGTCTTGTTCGACAAAGGGCGATCATTTTAAATCTTTGAAGAGTTTACTTTCCTGCTGTTATTCGGTTTGATCGCATGTCTTTTTTATTTGGGGATAGAAAAGTAAGATAAAATATTTATTTTAGTCATTTCCATGAAGAGAATTCTTCAACAGCGTTTCAAAACACGGTCACATTCAGGACATGTGAATCATTTGGGTACCCTATTTTAGGCTCTTTTTGACAGATTATTTGCCCTCGGGTAATAGACAATTGATGCTAGCTGTTCTAAAACCAGCGACTCACAAATATTTATTTTCTCTCAAGCTAACCCCTCTCCCTCGCCCGCCAATAGCTCGCGTCCCTGCAAAAATCAAAGGGAAAAAAAATATATTTTTCAACTTTGTTGTTATCTTCGAACTACGATAGCTTAAAATTTGCAATTAATGCAGATCTTACGGTCCCCCTTTTGACAAAGAAAGGAGATCAAAACTCGAAAGGTCCTTTTGTTCGAGTACAATAACTGTTTACGTCATTCTTTATACTCGCGCGCTCAACCATCCTATAACCATGACAACCTAATGCGTTCGTGGCATCAATTACGTCCGATGACGTCATTGTCTACGTCTTGCATCCATGCATTTACCAAGGCTGCAAGCGAAAATGTCCTTTGTCAAATGAATAACACATTTCCTTGTCGTTTTTCTTGCTCAAACGCATTTTTATTCGCCTCCATAGGCGCCTTGGTTCGAATGCAGGGCCCAAGATGGCGACGGAACGAACCAAGAGGGCTATAAAAGTGGGATTTTACGACATTGAGAAGACAATCGGTAAAGGCAACTTCGCTGTGGTGAAGCTGGCAAGGCATCGCGTCACAAAGAGTCAGGTGAGAGACGAAGGCCTTTCATCTTGTCGCTCGAAAAGAACTGATTGCTCTGTAACATGTACAGTCTGCTTCTCTGCGTGTGATTTTACTAACTTTTCCTGTTATTCGTCTGCGTAGGTCGCCATTAAGATCATCGACAAAACTCAATTGGACGACACAAACCTGAAGAAAGTTCACCGCGAAATTCAGATCATGAAGATGTTAAATCATCCGTACATCATCAAATTATACCAGGTATGGCATTTGCTTTACCGTCGCGTGCGATCATATATTCCGATGTTTCATTCCAGGCGCATGAATGCACGAGCGAAATTCGCCAGTGCAACGCTCGATCAAGGCCTCATTTGTTAGTTGCTACTCTATTATATTCATCAGTCCAGTTAGTCATTAAAATAAATCTCTTATTGTATTTTTTTTTCTCGGAAGGTGATGGAGACTAAAAGTATGCTGTACCTGGTGACTGAGTATGCAAGCAATGGTGAAATGTTTAGTAAGTTTCATTATCAAATACAATAATTTTGTGTTTAAAGACCCCTTGTGTGTAAACTCCTCATTTGCAATTCTCGTCAAGCGTGATTGTAGTCAGCCGTTATATTATTTCTCGTTCCTTGGCAGCTATTAAATCACTCAACTGAAGTGCATTTTCATCCGTTCGACGTGGAGGAAAATTGTGAGATTTGGCGTAGAATAAAGTGAAGTTTCGTCAAAGGCTTTTTTCGCGAAAGTACAATTTACTATTGTGCGGTTTGTGATCGTCAATTTCGGCATGCGTGACGCACGTCGCGGTGGTAGTACACTACAAAATATCGCTTTTACCGGCAATCTTCTGGTCAAACTTTCGTCAGCTCACTAGAGTTTCAACCAGCGACCAACGTATGTTATAAGCTAGGTTGTTCCCTTAATTTTTGAAAGGTAATTATAGCGTTTTTTTACAGCGATGAGCAAATAAAAATTTTCTATTGACAAAATTGTAAGTCAAGCTTGCGAAGAATATCGATTGCTTTACAAGGAGAGAACAATCATGTCAAGCCTCATATTTTTGCTATTTCTTTTTGCTTTGTTTTCTATGTTGCTAGTAATACGTCAAAGGCAACAGATCTGTCAAACAGAAAAAACCAACCTCAAAAAAGCATCAATCACATGTAGATTGCATCAGTTTTATATGCCATATTCTTGGAATATTTTTTCCGCATTTCAGTTTTAAGATAAATTTGCCCTGAACTGTATTTATCGATTTCTTGAAGGTAGCTAATTTCGTTTTATCGGTAGTAATTTTCAGATTCTCTTGGGAAGTCAATGTTTACTTCTGAAGTGACTAAATTGAATGAATTGCTTTGTGTGTGTGTGTTTTTTTTATCATGCGCCAGACTGTGATAACAGTTTCACACTCCTTAAAACCTTTAAACAGAATTTAATAAGAATAATCCGAAGATCACTATGTAACATACCGTAAAGCTGAGCTTCGAAATTTTTACTTATCAACATGAACAGAAACTTAGCTTTAAGTACAATTTCCGTTACATGTTTGACGAATTTGAAATGTTCGCGTGAGTAGCATTTTTGAGCGGAAAGGTTATGTATACCTGTACACAATTTCATATTTTGGCCGTGAGAGTGATATTGAAAGCAATCAGTAAAGAGTTTTGTTGCCTTTGGAAAATTTTTCACTATGAACAAAGAATTTCGAGCCAATTTTGCAAATATGAAGGACTTTATACAGTAATACCGTTTGGGTATGTGATACGTAACCAGTTTAGACTTAATCATAAATTGCCAAGGCTATAACTGCGTGTCAGCATGTAAATATTTTTCATATTCATCGGTATCCTCCTTATTCCAAACAGGAATGCAATCACAAACAACATCACTAAATTTCGAGTTCAGGATGCTTTTTATAGAAAACGTGGCATTACTAAATGACTTCCTCAGCTAATATCTTCAATATCATGTTGGTTTGTCCTTTTACAATGACCTCAAGTCATTCAAGAAAACTGGCCTCTTAAAGTTAGTCTTGTGTAGTTAGTTTCATGACTTATTCTACTAGAATAAAAAATGTCTGTTATGACTTATGTAAGATTTGGCTTGTTGTTGGCGAGTTGGCTTTCATCTGCTGTTTTGTCACATTGTTGGTATGTGCCTTCTGTCTGAATATAATGGAAAATGGCAAACAATATAAAGGTTAAGAGGAAATTGAAACACCGCAAGCTAAGAATAGCTGTTGTCTCTAAAATTTGATTTTCACACACTTAATTCCGTTCATGAGCCAATATCTCATATTTTGCCTAAAAATGGAATGCTGGAGTAATTAAAGCATAACTAATCAAACAAAGAGATTGAGACCAAGCACCTTGCGGCTATTAAGAGTTGGTTTGACCTTTTGGCTACCCAATACCCGGATATATACAAAAGTATTTACATTCCTTTTCCCCGCTCTGTTTTCTTTGCATCTCTAATGTTACTAAAAAAAAAAGTGAGCATTATTTCTTTAGAAATAAATGGCCTTGTTGGCCGTGATGATCACTCAACCAGCTTTTTTGTTGGGTTAAAGGCTAAAATAGATTTTGATCACTGTTATAATTCACTGAGTGAAATGACGTTAAACTTCCACAGAAGTCAGTAAAGAAAACTTGACATTTCAATTTAACATTGTTATGTTTCTAGCTGCCTAGTGTGGCTAGCTGCCTAGTATGTCTGTATTTTCCAATTTATTCATGAAAATTCAACTTGTGCTCAAACTCAAGGTAATAAACTCAAGCACATGTTTATCTTATATTTGCTTCATTTTGCAGACTACTTATCCCATGGTGCTTTGCCAGAAAAAGAGGCACGGAAAAAGTTTGCACAGATTTTGAGTGCAGTGGAGTACTGTCATGAAAGACATGTCGTACATCGTGACTTGAAAGTATGTTTAACTTAATGCTAGCATAATTTTACTCATTTAGAGAGACATAGGATCCACCTTTTCTACTGAAGTTTGTCTTATCATTAAATATCAGGGCTGTCATTAAGAGGCGGGGGGCCAGAGATTTCCCCTGGCTATTTCATGGGGAAATAGAAGAAAAATAGATCCAAAAGAAACCCTTAATCCTTATTTATGGGGCAACTTGAAATCTCAGTGACAACCCTGAATATTATCCATTCCTGCATCTTTGTGATAGAGGAATTGAAGGGGATATTATATTTGAAAGGATTATCCATCTCAGTTTGCCATGTTCATAGGAATCATAGCATCCTGTGTTTTATGCTTTAGAGGCATAGACTGGCAGACAGATGATTTGTCTGAAAAGATCACTCTTTTATAGATCATTTCTGCTCATGGGGTCAGCCACTGTGCAAAAGTTCAGACGAGAAAAGAAAACAATCCCCACAGCTTTTTTTCGTACAACAACATGGCTACCCTTTCATTGTTTTGGTAGAACAATATGGCACTGGGATATTGTGAAAAAATGATTTATAAATAAAGTATTATAAATCATGAAGCTTCTAGATTTGCCCATAAAACAGTTGAAATTAATAATTTAGCCTCCAGTTAGGAGTGTAGTTGACAGAAAAAGTATGACTGCATTTATTTTCACACTTGACACTGATGTGAGATATACTCATAATTTTTTTTTACTTTTTAGGCTGAGAATCTTCTTTTAGATCAAAATTTAAACATCAAAATTGCAGGTAAGAAATATTAGGTCATTTAAAGGGATAAAGGTTAAGATAAAATGGAAATAAATTGTGCAGGGCTGATAATGTTTGAATAGAGACAGAAAATTTATTTTTGTCATTAGAAAGCAAATTAAATCTATGCTAGCTAGAACTATGGCTGTGTTAAACATGCAAATGTATTGTTAAGTGATGGTTTGCACCTGCATGTGACTATGTCTCAAATTTCTGTAATACAAGTTGACTGTTTTGAAGCCACCTGCCTTGTTGGCCTAATACATTTTTAATCTGTTTGTATGGAAAAGTTACTGGATAACTCAAATTATGTCTTTTTTCTCTGTAATACCCTTCTAAAAGATTTGATAAGAATAGCAAAAGGGTATACAGGCTCACTCTAAGCAATGTTGTACATGTAAATGTGTTGAGATTGTCACAAGGGTGCCATCTATCAGGCAGCACAGCTAGACTCCCCAGTTTATGCAAATATAATTATCCATGACCATATCAAAGTTTTCCTTAACAAGGAAAATTTTAATGCTGACCATTGTTTGGGCTGAAAGGAGTTTAATGTTTGTCTCTCAATTTCAGACTTTGGGTTTGGAAACTACTATACCCCTGGCAATCCTCTGAATACATGGTGCGGCAGTCCGCCTTACGCTGCTCCTGAAGTATTTGAAGGAAAACTTTATCATGGTCCACAGCTGGATATTTGGGTGAGTAACTATTGATATTATCTATTTTACCCAGAGAAACATACACTGAAATCCCATGCATGAGTCACACAACTGTACTGCATTTTACATGGTAAAATACTGTCCATGGACTTTCATACAAAGGACTACACTTTTATAAGTATGAACTACTTTTTTGCAAGTTGAGTTTAAAATTTTACCTAATATAGGGCTAAACTGTTTAGACCTAGAGTATCATGCCTTTCCTGGGGGTAAGAGGAGAGAAGAATTGGGAAGACCAAGAGGGGAAGATGAGGGGAGAGGGCGGCCTTAACTCTTTCCCCCACTCCCTTCACTTAATTCCTAGCCTACCAGCAAGCTCTCCAGGGTGCTCCAGCGGCGGGTTGAGAAAAGGAAGAAGAGCTTGCAACTACGTCTCTGGAATTTGAATATCTGCTTTGAAAAAGTCGATGCAAAATGCTGATTGGCGGAGATGACATTAGTAATGAGGACGTTACCCTTAGCATGTGTTTTTCGATGTTTGTTTACATTCACACTTGTTTCTGCTTCACGCTGATTGGCGGAAATCTGACAGCTCAGTCGACAGGGAGCCACAGGGAAATTGGAGGTGGAATTCAAATTCCACAGACGTAGTTGCAAGCTCTCCTTCCTTTCCCCACCAAACCCCAGAGCGCCCCAGAGAGCTTACTTGCAGGCTACTCTATTCCCCACGCCCCCTAGAAGAGTCTAAAGGCTGACAGACTAGTCAGTAGTGTAGTTTACAACAATTATTACTGTTTGCTGATTTCCTATCTGGCCACCCGTTTGGTTTCTGTACATGTATGTAGTAATCACTTCATCATTAAATTTCACTGGAATGACGCTAAAGAATCATAAACTTTTTTTCTTTTTAGAGTTTGGGCGTTGTTCTATATGTGCTTATTTGTCGAGCCTTACCATTTGATGGAGGCACGCTTCCAGCTCTTCGAGACAGAGTGTTGGAGGGACGTTTTAGAATACCTTTTTTCATGTCTACAGGTAAAAATAAGCGCTGTTATTAAGCCTGTTTACCGAAGTGTTAACTTCACCCTTAGGACTTAATAAAAAGCTAATAAACTGACCTGAAAATCTTCATTATATTTGCATGGTTTCTCGACTGGTTCCACTCAAATTCCCAACGAAACGGTTGAGCCTGCAGTTTTCAGCGGATACTTTTAAATTGTCTTTAGAGCCCAGTTCACCCTGGCCACTATTTCTTCAACGCAGTAAACTATTCAGGCAATTCCTAGAATTTAAAGTACTGTACAAATGCATCTGCCAGAGCAAAACATTTTGATATTGGCTGTGCTGTAGTTATACTAGAGAGCGGAATATACATATGTGTTATCTCATTTTGATCTCGCTGATAATCACTTGCTTCTTTTCGCAGAATGCGAACACTTGATTCGACACATGCTCGTAAAAGATCCAAATCAACGATACACCATCGAACAGATAAAGAAACACAAGTGGATGCAAGCTGACCCGGCGGTCAAAAGCATTCTGACCTACAACAAAGAGGCAAATTTCGAAGGAGAAAAAATTCTGGATGAGTACAATGAACAAGCGCTCGAGTTGATGCAAGGATTGGGTATTGACATCGAAAGAACAAGAACGGTAAAGACCGCATTCAAAATTTGTTTATTCAGCCTCAGATACTAAGTAAGCCCCCTATTCTTTAGGGATTTAGTCCCCAAAGATAAAGACCCATGAGGAAGATACTTAGCCTTACTGACTAAGTATCCTATCCGTTCCCACCATTCCTTTTTGTAAAATCCTTAGAAACACAAGTTCGGGCAGCATAAGTTTCATTTGAAAGGTAACACCATAGGATTTCGATTTAAGTTTGCTGTTTCCGTAAAATGTAAAAACTTGCTAGGAAATTATTGAATTCGTTTGGAGCGCTTCAGATTACCACTGTACACTGATTTTATGAATTTAAATTTTTAATTTTAGTAATTCCAATTATTTATTCCTCAACAGGCCCTTGCTGAAAACGCCTACGATCACCACACCGCTATTTATTATCTACTTGTGGATCGACTTCGTCAACACAGGGCGAGCTACCCTCTTCAAACTCAGCTTGAAACCAAACTACGTCGGCCAAGTGGAATCGCAGAGGCTGCCGTTGTGCGTGGTGGCAGGAATAATGTTATGGTAGTACCCAATCGCGCCGTACAGCGCAGCGTCCCAGCCCAAACTCCGCGGCCTTATCTCCCCCTCCAATACGCTATCAATGAACTGCACGAACGCATTCCCACGCCGCCCGAAATAAGGCGGGAAATCGCCACGGAGTGCGTAAAAGAACTTTCTCCAATGCGCGAGCCTGGACTCAAGGCGCGTTCAATTTCACCACGTCAGATGATAAACGTAGCACCGCCTTTGTCGCTTGACAATAGTGTTAGTAGAGAAACGGACTCTCCTACGTTGGAAAACATGGACAGTGACGAGAATGAAGAAGACAAGCCTAAAGTCAGGCGTCATACTGTTCATTCTATGCCTAAGCAGTCACTAGCCGTCCCCGTGAATCATCCTCTATTGCGAGGTCGCTCAGAGGAAACCCACGAAGAATCGAACATTCACGCTTTTCAAATAAAACCTGCTATTGTGGTCTCACACTGTGGGCCCAGTAATAGCCTGATGACGTCGACGCCACCCGTAGTCTCTCTTCGAGGTTCGGGACAGCATCTTCATAATCCCGTGAGAAGAAACGGTCATGTGCCGCTCGGAAGACGGGCGTCCGACGGCAATGCCGTAACGCTAGCGTTTCAACAGCACTTACGAGTTTCCAGTCCGAATAATAGAATAAAACAGTTACAACAGGAGCACCAGAGACTACAGGAACAGTATCAAAAATCGCTGTCACCCACGGAAATTTCCGACCAGCAGGTGGCTCACTCTGAATATAAACTTAACTATGATCAAATGCGGGAAGAACTTCAAAAACATTACGAGGAACTCATGGCTTACAACGAGCAGGAACGAACTAACGAGAGAATGGAGCTAACTGACGAACAGAAAATCGCTTTCACTCAAGCGGAACAACCAGCTCCTTATTCAATGCCATTACATCACCAGTTACAACAACTCCATATTGACAATCGCCACAATCCTCTACGAAGGACTCCCTCGTACAAGCAAAACCCTCATAAACAAGTGTTTCGAACATCATCTTACAAACGTGCTCAGATTTGTGCTATGCTTCCTCCGTTACAAAGCGAACCTTTCGACTCTCTCGAAAATAAAGAACCACTTATTTGCGAAGACAAGACGAAACTTGGTAGATATTCCATAATCTCACTTTAGGGAAACCAGTTGCAAGTAGATTTTGCCGGGGGCGGTTTTATGTTGACTTTCGATTTGCATCTCCTTGTTTGAGGCTCAGAGGAAAACAGCGTCCCAACTGCATACCGTTGATTAGGTTAACACTTACAGTCTAGATTTCATGTCACCTTCGGAATCAAAACGTGTAATCCGTCAGCAGTACATGTAGGTATAATGTTTTTTCTTCTCGCATACAGAAAAGAAGCCCATTTTGAATAAATTATACATTCAGCAGTGAGCCTCGAACTAAAGTCTCCACAAAACCGCCTTCATAGATAAATGCTAACTTATATATTGTGTGTAATGATTATATTTCTAAAACAGAGCGAAAGTAGGTTTTCTATGTCCTTTTTAAAGAGCGAGTAGATTTATAAAACAAAACATAATTATGTATAATAAGAAATATGAAAGAAGCACTTGTAAATAACTTGCTTATTTGCCACGCCCTTAGGCACCATTGACGCAAAGTACAAGCTGTATCACTTAAAGTACAGTGCATTTGATTGAAAACTTGAGAAAGCCTTACATTTGTTTCTTTCACTTTTTTCCCTCGCACTTGAATGATATATATCTTTCACGACCTTAACGGTCAGCCCATTTCTCGAAATTCTTGATAACATTTCGCGCCCCGATCCAATACCCCAAGTACCAGAGGTTAGATTTTCTCGCTTGCAACGAGAAATTAAACCGGAAATCGCGCAATGAAAATTAGCTTCTGGCAACCAGGNACAGAAAAGAAGCCCATTTTGAATAAATTATACATTCAGCAGTGAGCCTCGAACTAAAGTCTCCACAAAACCGCCTTCATAGATAAATGCTAACTTATATATTGTGTGTAATGATTATATTTCTAAAACAGAGCGAAAGTAGGTTTTCTATGTCCTTTTTAAAGAGCGAGTAGATTTATAAAACAAAACATAATTATGTATAATAAGAAATATGAAAGAAGCACTTGTAAATAACTTGCTTATTTGCCACGCCCTTAGGCACCATTGACGCAAAGTACAAGCTGTATCACTTAAAGTACAGTGCATTTGATTGAAAACTTGAGAAAGCCTTACATTTGTTTCTTTCACTTTTTTCCCTCGCACTTGAATGATGTATATCTTACACGACCTTAACGGTCAGCCCATTTCTCGAAATTCTTGATAACATTTCGCGCCCCGATCCAATACCCCAAGTACCAGAGGTTAGATTTTCTCGCTTGCAACGAGAAATTAAACCGGAAATCGCGCAATGAAAATTAGCTTCTGGCAACCAGGATAGCGCCCTAAAGTCTCACGTAGAGAGTTAGTGGTGCTGCTCCTAGCTCTCAATCATCAGCCCATTTTGTTTCATTTACTGGTTAACCTTGATCCTGAAAAGAAATTCGGCAAACATCAACGGTATTCCGGTCCTAGTGATTACCAGGACTTCCCAACCTCGTCGCCAGGGCCGATCCCCCTCCTCTCATTGTTTAAGGGAAAAGCCCTAGGAACAGGTCCCCGGCCGGCAGTACCGGAGCAAAGAATTGGCCCCCTCGACTCCCGCCTTTTTTCCATTTTTCCTGCCCTTGCTTTACGTTTGCAAATCTTATCGGTCTTCTGGTTTGCTATCAATTCAACCCTGCAGGGTCATGCGGCTCCTGATTCAACCCAAATTACCTACACAAATTTAATTTTCGAAATAAATGAAAAAATAAAAATAAAAACGAGATTTCCAAAAAAATATGTTTGCATGCTGTTTAAACCTCTGAAAGGATGTATCCCTCGCTTACTCTCAAACAAGAAGGAAATTAAAGCTTTTTGTTCGGATGGACACGATGAGAAGGATCCCTCTGACGGTAGAGATTCCAATGCACTTGAGACCGTTATATGATTCAGTATCTGAAATAATGCAACGACTTTATACTCAGTAGATAAGGACATTTCACTTGTTCCTCATTGACATTGTTGGTTACTATAGCTAGTTGACGTTGGTCATGAGCTGGCTACCCAGTGACAGTTGTAGCAAACTTCACGTGACCATTAACTCATTAGTCGTTCAAATCACAAAAACAATGGTTGTCACATTTGTTTCTATCCCGTCGTGCTCTTTAAAAATTACCTTTCTGTTACATCAATATTTGAAGTTTAAATTTTACTGTCAATGTGACGTCATTCCCCACCAAAAATCGCTAAAATCTAAAAACAATAAACATAAAAAAAAATGAATGTAAGGTTGGCAATACGGCGATGGGCTGATTTATTTGAGGTCAGTGTTTCGGCCAACAAAATTAGCCTTCCTCAGGGCCAGGGATACACTGAAAGAAAAAAACCATAACGGATTCTAAAATTTGAATTTAACTTTACATGAGAGGTTAAAAATAAACTAAGGGTCCCTTCACACTTAGTGCCAGGGCACTAGTGCCCGGGCACGGTTACAAAATCAGTGGCGGATCTAGGCGAGGGGCCCGGGGGGCCCGCCCCCCTTATTTTTAGACCAAACTGAGGCGCGAAGGGCCGAAAAAATATTTTTTTGAGACCGGGCATCCCCCTTATTTCAGGGTCTGGATGACCGCCCCCCCTCCCCCACCCCGCCCGTCGCTGAAAATCGTGCTTTGTCCACCCTCTGGGTACCCAAGTTGTCTTTCGTCCACTTTGCTCCTTCAGCAGACACCATTTTTGCAAAAGAAGCGTAGCAAGGAGTTATGGGTATGTGAAGAAGTTAATTGTGGGTAAAACACCTCGGAACCAACGGAAAAGCAGGTGCACATAGGGACCCGGTGCCCACTTTAGTGCCCGAGTACAAGGTCTCACCTGCACCGTGTCCGAATTTTAGCGAAGGTACTTAAAAAAGGTGTGTGCACATTAATGCCTAGCGAGTACCGTACTCGAGCACCAGTGCTCGGGCACCAAGTGTGAACGCACCCTATTGATAGCATGATAGGTATGTTAATAATTATACAACGAAGTAATTGATTTATAACAGATAAGTAGGTTGAGTATGATCGTCCAGGTCCTGGTGAATGTAGTCCAGAAAAGGACTGTTGTACTTGACACTGGTCAACTGAGTTTCGACAACCGGTGCGGTAGACATCTTTAAATTAGAGTGAAAGTGAGTTGCATCAGGTCAGTTGATGGTATTAACTCTGGTTATTGACCTGATTGGTCAATTAAGTCGCGATGTTATTGGTCATCTGTCAGTTAAGCCGTGAGGTTATTGGCTATGAACTTCTTAGTTTTCACAAGCCGTCGCGTTTCGCTCGCTCTACTATCCCTGAGGGAAAATGAGGGACTACTCGTAGTCTACCCTTGGCTTCAGTTATAAGTGACCCGGCGCAAGGAACAGGCTACCCAATCGCCATCCGTGTCCTAACTTATAGAGGACGGTTGAGGACGGTGAATAAAACACTAATAAGTTCCTTTCATTTGCTCGAAAAAACAAAAACCTTTAGATGAAGAATAGTGGAGAAAAATAGTCACGTTTTCGTCACCTGACTTCAGTCGCCTTGTTATCACGTCCTGAACGTCAGCCGGGGAACGTGGAGGACGGCAGTGATAAACCGGAAATTACGTCCAATAACTTACGAAGCATGTTGTCACTCACGAACACTGTTTCATACACGTCACACAATGAAATTTTGCCGTCCTCTCGATCCATCTACCGTCCTGTTGCGCAAGGTCCCTAATGTCACGCGGGGGTAGCTATATTTTCAAAACGGAAAACGCTATCACGTTGAAAACTTGCACAGAAGTTTATTTTTTAAGAGATCTTTTCCAGACGGAATTAGATTTTGTGACGTCACTTGAAAATTTGTCGGCCCTGTGGTGAGGACTGGGGACAAGGCTAGTTACCAGTCCATTATCAGCCGAACGGTCAAGATGGCGGTGGTTGTTGGAACTTGGTCTTTCAGTTTGGAAGCAGTAAAGTTGATTTCCGACAAGCTGTGTGCTGGAAGCGTGGGGCTTGATGCTCTCGAGAATGGGATCAATGGTAAAACCAGCATTAATTGGAACTGTTGGCTTGAATTTTCTCAAAATCGTTGATGTTTCGGGCGTTTCACCTATCGATTCTGCCCCGTTCACTGCCGAACCTTCTGCAACCCTGCTAGCATATATGTCGCTTCGATCTTCCCTAGATAAGTCGGGAAAGAAGAAGCCTTAGATCGACTTGACTCTGCTAGCAGAGTAGGCTGCTGCTTGTAGTCATAGAAGTTATGGAATTGCATACATCCCGCGCTTTCAATATGACATGTCTGTATAAAAGCTAGGTGTCGACATGACAAAATGGAAGGTGATACAAATGTCCTATAAATCACAGTCTTTGATCACTGGAAGGTTAAAGGAACATTAAAGTAAAGAGATAAGCTAGCGTAGCGGTAATTGAATCCTTTTAAGGATTTAAAATTTTGCACACCCACAACTTAAAATTCTTAAAACATTTCAGCCAGGTCTTGTTAAAACCCACAGAAAACGTCATGCGCGGAGAGTCAAGAAATTGAGGTTATGTGACCAGATTTTTATTGAATGGGGAATAAAGTTTCCTTCTGACTATTTTTATCCGTTGCTAGCATTCTTTTCTGGTCAGTTAATGAACCTTGGCATTTTCTCAGCAAAAGACACCCCGGGTCGAGGAGCAAAGAAATTTCTCAGGGGTATTAAAGTTGTTATAAAAGTTGAGGAATGATTCTTCAGGGGCAGAGGGGAAATTGTTTGAATTCTTTAGGGGTAAAACATTAATTTGTTAGTGGAAATGAAATCTTCAAGCATGAACAAAGATTATTCATGCAATTTTTATGGAAAAAAGTACCTTTGCGGATAATTATTACATGTATTAGCCCTCAGACATGTACATGTAAGATTTTACCACAAAAAAAATACATATTTTTTTCATCTTCAGCATTTGAGGAAAATCCTGATACTGGGTGCTATTTTGTTGGAAGAGGAGGATTGCCGAACTCCAGTGGCATATTGGAGTGTGATGCAGCTGTTATGACAGGAAAAAGGTGTTGTTTCGGTGCAGTAGCTGCTTTGCAGGGGTAAGGTGACAGTATGTAGTGGTTACTTACAGATTGGGGGCTAGAAATGGTTGGAGTAGAAGTCTGTAACTAGAAAGAGAGACTTTCTAGCAAGAGAGGATAAATCCTCTCTTACTGGAAAGTCCTTCATAATTCAGCTCTGAAATTGTTTTTGCTCTGAGGTAGAACGAGCCACCAGATTGAATATTTTTGGAGGCATTCAAGTGATTTTAGTGTTTCCTAATTTTTGAGACAGAGCTGATTGCCGGTCGTGTTATTCTTTAAATGGTACTCTTTCGTTTTAAAAGCAATTATAAATAAAAATATTGCTCCAAACCTTGCTCTGTAGTCTTATGACTTGTTCCTTGCCCTATTTGAAATACATGTATCCTTCAGCAGTTTTGGCTGAAACTCCTTTGATGTGCCATTTTCTTTGAACAGTAGGGTCCACTTAAGTGCTTCGTAAAAAATATTTACCAACTCAGTGTGAAGTCAGTTTATTTCATATTATTGGTGAGTCATATCTGTTGTTCTTTTCAAAGTTTTGTGGCCATCATGTTCAAACCAAACAAATCAAGATGAAAAGTTTGCTATACACTGTAGCTCAATGCACTCGTATTAATAACAGAGCCACTGCGTCACCTGGAAATTTCATTTTTTGTTAAGAGGAGAAACTAGAGCATTGAATGGCATTAATGCTATGGTGAGGTAGATTTCATAATAATTATAAAATCTATTATTATTATTATTGTCTATTATTAAAATAATAGGGTTGCAAAGCCGCTCGCAGTTGCAAGACATGTTATGGAGAACTCACCTCACAGTATACTTGTGGGTCAAGGTGCACAGGAATATGCTGTTAAAAATGGGTTTCCTGTAGAACCAAATTCAGCACTGCAGACACATGAATCAATAGAAGCATTTGAGGTGAACAAAAGTGATTTAAGATTTGCAGCTCTTGCTTTTGTTTTCCCAACCAGAGTGTGTGTTTTTAGTTGGTTGCATGCCAGGTCTGTTGTTCTTAAACAGAAAACAAACCAATAGGAGGCCATTTCCGAGTTCCCCCGGGCCTCCGTTTCAAAACGAGGGTAGGTGCTCAGCCTTTGATATGGAAATCACTTTTCATTCTCATGCAAATAAAACTCATTGTCACAAGAAAGGTTCTGCACCTAGTCTCATTTTGAAAGTAAGGGATTTTGGAACTTGGAAGTGGCCTATTCCACACACAGAGTGATATTAGATAGTCATGAATAATTTGCTGTTCAGTAATGTGTTGATTTTGAGCTATTTTATTAGTCAATGAATATATCCATTTTGCTTTTCTTTTTACGTTTTTTAATTCTTGCAGATGGAAAAAAATAATATTGTTATCTTACTCTTATTATTGTAATCAGGAAATATTTATTTGAAAGTACGATTCAATGTTCATTCCTTAACATCATCATTCATGGTAATAAGCTGATTTTTAAAACTTGCAACTGACGATAATCTGATTAAGGTATTGGTCAAAACATGTCTGGTCTCAAAAACAAATGTTGTTTGTTTTCTATCACTATGACTGTTTCTTTTGCAGTAGGAATTTCTCAGAAAATCAGACAAAGATGTAGGAGGTCATGACACTATAGGTGAGAGCTAAAGCATACAAGCCGTATTGAGAAATGCATTGTATTATCCTTTAAACATATTCTGTATTCAGTGATTTTGAACTTACTGGCTTGTAGCCAGTAACGCTTTATGTCAATGCCTGTGTAAGAATGAATGTAAGGTCATTCTGTTGTCCTTGTAGCGCACGACATTAACGCATCACCTTCAGACCGGGTTCAGTAGCTATTATTGCCCTTTTTTATGAGAAGTATTTAATAGACTCTTTTTTCTCCTAGTTTTTCTTAAAATTATTACTGAACATTTCAGTGTATCACACATCGTTATCAAGAGTGAGAAATGTTAAGTGTCAAAGTTGTTTAAAGAGCTGAAGTTTGAATAAATTAGATTGTGTTTGTGCATGCTTTATTGTTATTTAGATTTCCTAATAGAAAAACTTGGTGCAAATCGAATCCAATTGCACATTCAGTGATGGTTTGCATTCTTGTATAAATAACATCTCATAGACAAGGCATTCGAATTTGTTTCTGGCAGTGCATATTTTGAGGTCCGAGAAATTAACTTAACGTTAATTCATGTTAAATTTACTTACCGGTAACTTAATGTTTCTCACTCTTGCAGATAATGATGTGTGAATTGAAATGTTGAGTAAAGTTTTTAAGCTTCAACAAGCAACTGACTATCGGTTCTTTTTTAAGCCCAACAATTTAATATTATAAAAGTAAATTAATCATTTCGAAAAGAATTCTAGTTAAAATAAAGCAAAATATACACAATATGTATGCATGCATTGATTTTTCTCCTCTGCCTTTCCCAACTTTACCTCCCCCCCCCCCCCCCCCCCCCCCCCAAAAAATAATCAATGGTTTTTTTTTAACACCAAAAAATTAAATAATAAAAAAAAAAAATACTCTTTTGAAAAAGAATTAGAGTTAAAATAAAACAAAAAATACACAATATTTGTCCACGCCCTTTTTTTTCCCCTCCCCCTTTCCCAATTTCCCCCCCCCCCCCCCCCACCTGCACCCATGCTTTGTGCTGTGCTGTTTTGTCTCTCTTCTTAGATTACATTTAAAAAAGAGATGTCCTTAACAAGTTATGTTGAACCTTATGCAATGATAATTTCACCATTTACATGTACATGTGCCATTATATGATATTTCATTGTTTGTTTGTTTGCTCTTGTTTTCAAAGGGATTCTTGTGTTGGATTCAAAAATGCAGTTGACTGCAGGTAAAAGTAATGACTCCATTGTGCAATGCTTACGATGGCAAGTTGTAAAGTCACAAAGAAAATTTCAGTACCCTGCATGTCATGTTTATCAACACAGGACCAAACTGGCTTTATTTTTTTTTCACTCTTGTCTACTTGGGTACAAGATTATTATTTGACTTATTTTAACCATGGCTATAATATCAAGCATTGATTAACATAGCTAAGTACTAGTTTATTCCATTCCATAGTTATTTTTTGTTGTAGATGATCAATTTTGTACAAATTGAACTCTTATTAATATTAAAATTTAATTTTTAAGGTGTTTCAACAAGTGGAAAGGCTTTTAAACATCCTGGCCGAGTTGGTGACTCACCCCTGCCTGGGTCTGGATTGTATGCTGATGATGAGGTAAGGTACCTCTTTCCCTGATGAAGAGAAGAGTCAATCGCTTGAGGAAACAGGGGTGTCAAAAGTAGCCGGCTGCTGGCAGAAAATCGCCGCCTACTTGACTAATATCAGCCGGCTACTCTGCTTGGCATTTCTTTACAAATAGGGTTTTTTCAATAGAATATCCCTGGACTTACTTTGACAACTCAGCCATCTATGTCAAAACTTTCTGACAACCCTGGGAAAGCATATAAAAACCAAGAAATACCATCTTGAATAGATCTTTTGATGATCTTTTCTGTAAATGTTAACCATAGTATGATCGTTATTTGGGAAATAACCATGCTGGCACAGCTGGGTGCAAAGCAGTTATTTGTGAAGTTCTTATTGCAGTTTTTTATTTTAGAGTTTATTATTGATAGCAAAAGTTGCATTTGTTTACTGTAAAATTTTGAATATGAATTGACTGATCAAACTGTCATGCGATTATGTCACAAACCTGGTTAAAGATTTTCCAATGCTCCGGATAATCGCTGAAGGTAATGACAGCGGACGAGTAACAACAACTCACGTTCATGCCTCTCTTGGAAAGCTTTGCATTCTACATTCATCCCCCTTTTTTGGGCAACATCTGTTTCCTAGGAAGTTTTGAAGTTTATTAGATCTTGTTGGACTTTGCCACTGGGCTGGCAAAATTTTAATGATAATAAAATTTTTGTTAAAATATTTATAATTCCTTCTCCTCTTCTTCACAGGTTGGAGCTGCAGCAGGTCAGTTTAACAGTACCGTAAACTTCTAATTATAAGCCATGGGCTTACACAACTTCATAAGGGGTTCAAGGAGGGCTTATAGAGGAGGGGCTTATATTTGGGGGAAGCTTACAACCGGATTTAAAAAAAGTATTTCAAAACAAGCTACTTAGCAGTGGTGATCAAAATACTTTTTGAATTTGATCACTGTTTTAAGCTTCACATTTTGTAAAAAGTGGAATTCATTTCAATACAGGCTTATATATTATGGGCGGGGGGGACTTATTTTATGGATGTATTTTTTTTTACTGGTAGTTGGACCATGTTGATTATTTTAATTAACAGCAACTGGCGATGGTGACAAGATGATGAGATTTTGTCCAGCTTTTCATGCAGTCCAGCTGATGAAAGAGGTATGTATAGGTTTCATCACAACTTTCAGTAATCCAAAAGATATATATTTGTTATTGGTGCAAAAGAACCCACTAATAACAGTAATCATCATCATTATTACAAATACGGCACTTCCTATAAAACCTCTCGTCATGTACTCCTTTGTAACAAAGACATTTCAGATACTTATTCCAAAAATAATGCAGCCCTACCTCCAAAATAACCCCCCAACCCCCCCTTCCCGAGGAAGAGGGGTGGGGGGGGGGGGTCACAGGATACACAGAGACGGGGATGATGGAAGGCTCTCGGGGATTTTTGTTTAGAACGATTTTAGCAAGTATTTTTGGGATTGCCCAATTTACATCGAATTTTTTTTGGTGATGTGAGCCCTCAAGAGCCTTGGATGGGATATTTCACTCTCAGGATATACCATACTTTTAGTTACTTTGAGAGAGGCTAAAAAATACAAAATGCCAGGGTCGTAGCCAGCCCCTAGACCGGTAGGCCCGGGCCTACGAATTTTTGGTTTGATCACTCTACTGCTTCATGTGATAAATTATGCGTTGTTGGGGTGAGCTTAAAAGCTTAAGAACTCAACGTGTTGGTGCGATCAGTACGTGCAATTCTCAGGATATGTGGAAATGAAAGTCAGCCAGGCCTAGAACTAGTCGAAAGGCTGGCTACGCCCCTGCAAAATGCGGTTTTGTGAGGGCTATTCATTTTTTTCCACACTTTTGTTCCAAGAGATTTTAAAGGATTTCAATTTTCTGTACGTTCTCATTTGATCATGCCCTTCAGTGTGAATTCAAAATGGCTCCTAGATGGACATACTCTACAATGTGGACACAATGGTCTGTCCCTTGTTTGTCATATTTTTTAAAGATGTTCGACTATGATGGTGGCACATCAGGGGCTTTTTTTTCTTGTCCCAATTTTTGTGTTTTGTTTATGTACAGGAATACTTGCTTTGCGCGCTACAATTTCTTGAGGCCTGCTAATGATTCTCATCCGTTTAAAAAGGACTTGTGCCCGAATAGGTCATCATTTTATTCGTACAAACGAGAAAAGTCTTCCAACATCCTGACTTTGATTTCTTTAATTACTATGCAATCTTCGGCTACAAAATGGTAGTCTTTAGCATTACACCGGCACGGTCGTCATGTCCACTGCAGAACATGTCGAACACGCGCACGTGTAAGTCGCGACGTTCTCCCCAGAATTGTCCGTTGACCGACCGTTATTGGCTGTTCTGCAATTTCCGCAGAACACCAAAATGTGCCATTGAACGCTTTTAAAAAGTAGTTTTAAGGCAACGGCGCTGTTTTTCCTTCTAACGTTGAGAGTTAGTTTACCCTGGAAAAGATAGTCACACGCGTTTTTGCAAAGGGAAGTACAATCGAACCTCCACTAACGACCACCTCTCTACAACGGCCACTTTTTTGGGCGGACTGTCCATCCATTGCCTCACTAAGCTTCTCTACAACAGCCACTTTCTTTTGTACCCAATCTGGCCGTTGTGGAAAGGTTCAACTGTATTTCTAAAATGTCTGCACAGGCTAATCTATATCTTGTGCTGCAACTTTACACACCGTTAAATTCCACAGGTATAGAACGCACTTATTTGAAAGTTAGCAATAGCAATCTTTGACTTTATGCAGACTTACTATACAGTATGTTGCCCAGTATCCGGACACTTCAGTTTAAAATTGCAATAACTTTCCTTTGTTAATCGCAAGAGCTCTGAAATTTGGCCCAGAAAAAATCTATCTAGTCCTTAATATGACGAAAGACAGTTTAACTTTTTTGCCTTTGTTTCCATCGCTAAATTAATATTTTTGCAGAGCTCCTATGTTGCCCAGTATCCGGACAGCTGGCCCAGTATCCGGACACAACAATAACAACGTAATGGTACATAAATTTCGACAGGCAAGCGACTTATAAGCTTCTCTTGCACTTGCAAAGTAGTCTGGCAATCGATTCCGAAAAAATAACCTAGCATCGTGAAATAAAACATAACAAATGACTGGGGTATGGTGGGGAACGCGAGCCGCTGTTTTAAAAATGGTATAATTTCTCACTTCTTTGTCTAGGAACTTTTTCACTGATTTAAGGAAGGCATCCGTGAACATCCCGAAGCCGCAGTTTGCAAGCTCAATTAGCCAATCTGCAAACGACTTTCTTTCTTCATTTTTTATTTAAAGACAAGCTTGGGAAAGGGACCTCAACCCGACGGTCAAAGGTCACTCTCCTATTTAGTCTGACCTGCAGTGTTGATTTCTTCATGCTCAGTCCCCACAATAAGCCTACTTTTCTAGCACTAATTCCTCCTTCTTTCACATCTCTCAATCCCTTTGTGACATTTTTTAGACCATTGCAACCCCATTCTAGCAGTCCCAACTGGGAAAAGTATGAGAATTCCAGGTTCAACTCGGACGCTTTCAGTTATATATAGAAAATGCAGTCACGCGAAAGAAGCGGCGCACACGAAATCAAGTCGCCTCTGAATGAGTGAAGAAAATTTCCATACGGAGTTGAGTAGAGTTACATTTTACGACTATATCATATATCCTAAGCTTTAATTATAGTCACTGATATGAAATAAATCTTATCCGGAGAATGTACACAGCTAATTCATCGATTGTGTACAGCAAAGAAAAAACTGTCCGGATACTGGGCACATGACATCAAAACTTAGTGAATGTTTCTGGCTTCCGTTATTCCAAACAAATCGAATTTCAAGGAGAATTAATAAACTTTCTGAAAACCTGACTTCCTTAAGTATCTTCACTTTAAAAATAAAACAGTTTCTTTGAAAATAACACACATTACCCTCCCTTTTCTGACCAGCACTAACTTTACTGCGCAGTAAACAGCGTAAATATTAGCCATGAAAAGTTTATTCACCTGAACAGAACGGCGTCTTCTGCGACTGTTTCGCAAGCTTTCAAATCGCCAAAACTTTCATCTTAAAGCTGAAATGTTCAGCTTTCATTCGAAATACTTCGTTTAACGAGAACTGAAAAGGGCGCCTCAAAAATTGAGTTTTTGTTTCAAGTGTCCGGATACTGGTACCGTCCGGATACTGGGCAACATACTGTAATGATACCAAAAAGAAAAGATGCAAACTAAACCCAATTATTGGAGAAATTTTCTATCTGTTTTTTTTTTTGCGCCGAGATTTTCCAGTCGCTGGAACAAGTTGCGTTAAAAAGTCCATAAATTTATTTGCCATTGATGTGAACAGGGGTACTCCCCACAAGAATCATGTGAAATTGTGGTGAAAGAATCGCAGCGGAAAGCAGGAACAACAGCAAGACCTTTTGAAATGGCCTTGATTGCATTGAACAGAAAGGTAACTGAATCATGCTACAACCAGTTTCAAAAGTACCTGAGACACTGTACCGTATTTTGTCTTAAATGGCCTGCCATGATCTTGTGCTTGTGATCCCTCCTCCACCCCTTTTCAAAGTTGCTAGCAATACAAGACCATACTCAAAACTTGGAGGAACAACTTTGAATGGGAGGGAGGAGGGAGGTCATTATTATATCTCTCAGACATGTGACTAGCAGCGATTTGAAGCAAGAAAGGTCGTTTTTTCGTCGGAGTGTCTCAACATTTTTGCAACTGGTTGTAGCACTTCTTGGAAAATCAAATTTTAAAAACATTCGTCATGTAGTGAGAAATCAGTCAACAGCCCCAACCCCTCCCCTCCCCTCCCTGCCTTTTTTTTTTTCACCACAACAACAGATAATATCACAGAGCGGCACTGCCCGCAGCGAGCAAGGCTATTCGAGGCGGGACAGTGCGTGCAAAATGAAATTAAGATGAAGGCTAACCATAGTTATTAAAGTGGAATGGTTACGAAACCAGTTTTAACTAGTTTCGTAACCATTCCACTTTAAAAACTCTTTTTTCCAGTTTAAAAACTCTTTTGTTCATGTTTTTGTTGGCTTTTTTGGACCTGACCGTACACAACGTTCAATAGCATTCCTATCATTTTGAAATTACTGACCAATAGAAACATCGCATTAATTTATTTAGTCACAATTTATGAACAAAAAACAAAGGATTGTGAACGGTCAGGGAGCTACCAACATAAATTACAGCACCTTTTGTGTCCTAAATACGACGAAAAACGCGCTGCAGATTATAAGTCTCGCTGCTTACGCAAGCGAGACTAATCAGTAATCATTGTGGTTAGTGCTCCCTGCTGAAATTTGTTTGGTATCCTCTTCATAACACGTTTCGGAAAAGCTCTAAATTTAATTAATCTTTCCTAAGCTTTTTTCGGAAAACATGCTTGGCTTTGATCACGCAACGATTCTTATTTCCAGTTTCCACGGACACCGCTAGGACGCCTGGCACAATGACCCCTTTATGTGTCCTAAATACGACGAAAAACGCGTTGCAGATAAACAATAATTTACTTAAAATATAGTTTTCTGGGTGCAAATTTTCCTGATGGGTGGCAATAAAATGTTGGTTTACGAGCGTATTTGAAGAACGGTTTTTGTTCTACTTTTTTCAGGGTGAAGTTGGTGCTTCATCGACCGTTCCTCTTTTTGAGGACAAAAGATTAAACACTAAGTACTCAGGATTTCCATTTGTTGTTTGGACTGAACAGATGACCTCTCCGGAAATAAGAGTGCAGCCTCCAGTTTGTTTACAGTGATTGAATACAACCTAAGGCAATTATTCAGAATAACTTCTGCTTTTGTGCCTGGCCTGTGTGGAAAGTGTGTCGAAAAGGAAGAAGAAGAGAAAAATCGAGCGCGAGAGGCCTTTTCTTCCTCATTTGTCTCGCCCTTTGTAAGGTAATCCAAAACAGTCTTGGATTTTTGATCCCGGATTGGAGGTACTGGATTCCGAAATCTTTGTCTTTAGGACTTGGATTCCGGGTCGATTAGTCGCCTTTTCTATTCTCGGACAGCTTAGACTTCAGGATGTGGGCAAACTCGTGTACTAGATGAGGATGCCACTTGATTAGAGGTGGAACAGTGGTTAAACAAGATTCTAACCATCTTTTGAGCCGGATTTAAACAATTTTTTAGCGTGAAAATTTGAAAGGATTCAGGTGAATAAAAAATCCCATGCAGCTTGTATTCATAGACATGCAACGAGCATTAAAGAATATGTACTAGGAGAAAATGGTATGGGCATAGTATCTTCCATCTTTTTTGTGACCTGTGGTACTTAACATTTACGTAAGAAAACCGGAAATTCCGGTAGTATTGGTAAATCAAATGTTTCGCGCCATTCCGATTGGGAAACTTCAGAAAATATAGAGAGGATATTACACGGTGGCGCGAAGATATGAATTTTATTTTCGACTGGCAAAACAATATTTTTCGAACGAGCGCATATCTTCAAGCCGCCATGTAATGTTCTTTTTATTATATAGACAAAAAGACATCGATAAAATATTAGAGGGAAATTAACGAAATTACGTCATCGATAAACTATGGAAAATAAACCACTCGGGTCTCGGACGTAGTTTTTATGAATTTTACGAGTGGTATATTTTCCAGTAAAACACTCGTGTCTACATAATAAAGGCTGTGATTTACGATAATGCATATTTATTTCTACTCTTTACAGTGTGTTCAGCTGATTTAGTTCAGCTTCTTTTTTGCGGGTCGTTCTCCTACCACGTCAAATTTTACACATGGTTCGTACAGAGACTTGAATCTTGAAAAAGTCTTTGCCCAGCAATTTTTCAGACCTGGAAAAAGTCTGGAAAAGGGAGATGAAGTCGGGAAAAATGATAAAAAGTCTTGAGTTTTTATTTTTGCAAAGCTACAACAAGTGCTTTATAAGTGAATTTTTTTCATTTTGGTCAGCTCTTATTCAATATCGCCCTTACGTTTGGTTGGTAATGTTTTGCTACGTATGTATGTTTTGCTGTGCTGTGCGTGTACATTGCTTGAAAACAGACAATACTTGGAATAATGAACATTCCTGAACATGAATCAAAATTATTATGGCTTGTTCAAACAATAAATTACTTTATCTACCTAGCTTGTGTACAGACGTCCCCCCTCCCTCAGAGGGTGGGGGGACGTCTGTACACAGGCTATAACTACCTTAACTTTGGATATTGTCATTTTCTAAATGTGTTATCACTTTTTACTAAACACATAAACATCCTTTATGAAATACAACAGAAAAATTACATTTGATGAAAATAAAACCACTAATATTAGGTATGTTGAAAGCATTTTCATAGATTATTTTTCAACATTGAGAGCATACACATTGTTTTTGACATAAAAATAAATACATAAAATATCATTTTAAATAGGTATGTTAGGCAGTTGATGATCAAACTTGCCCTTGTAAAATATCATCACACTAATAAGCTCATTAAGTTTCAGAGATGATCAGGAAATTCAATGCTTTANCCTTACGTTTGGTTGGTAATGTTTTGCTACGTATGTATGTTTTGCTGTGCTGTGCGTGTACATTGCTTGAAAACAGACAATACTTGGAATAATGAACATTCCTGAACATGAATCAAAATTATTATGGCTTGTTCAAACAATAAATTACTTTATCTACCTAGCTTGTGTACAGACGTCCCCCCTCCCTCAGAGGGTGGGGGGACGTCTGTACACAGGCTATAACTACCTTAACTTTGGATATTGTCATTTTCTAAATGTGTTATCACTTTTTACTAAACACATAAACATCCTTTATGAAATACAACAGAAAAATTACATTTGATGAAAATAAAACCACTAATATTAGGTATGTTGAAAGCATTTTCATAGATTATTTTTCAACATTGAGAGCATACACATTGTTTTTGACATAAAAATAAATACATAAAATATCATTTTAAATAGGTATGTTAGGCAGTTGATGATCAAACTTGCCCTTGTAAAATATCATCACACTAATAAGCTCATTAAGTTTCAGAGATGATCAGGAAATTCAATGCTTTATAAAACTGCAAAGCTACTACTCTGCAAAATACAGTTGTCTCTTACCCACTTCCTGTCACTATAAGCATGCAAAGAAACAAGCGTCTGATAGACCAAGGACAGTAGATTTTGCTATCGGGCTACTCAATTATGCTCTTAAGTTGCCCAATGGGCAAGTGAAGTTTTTTGGGGAATTCAAATTATGCAAGAACCGTAATTAATGCTCATCAACTTTTTCTTGGGCTAGTTGTTTATGACTCTCAGGCTATTAATTGCATGCTAGCCACAGCTTTCCCGAAAATGGCAAGCTGTACAACTGACTTTATTTGTGCCCTGACTATTGGGAGTATTAAGAGTTGGCCTTCATCTCCTGGCAACAGAAAAATTTGTTATATTTTTTTTTTCCTAGTCCAAGACTGTGATCCAGCTGATGATTAGAACGAACTTTTTTTAAAAAATACCTGTCGCTGCTTTGCAGACTCACTTTCAGACACAAGTTTACACCTGGATTTGCACTTACACCTATATCATAAACCAAGTCTGGTTGTCTGGGACAAATAGTTTCCTTGCTTCGCAAGTACCTTTCTAAGCTCATGCTCACTTGCCTAAAGGTGATGTTGCACGAGACGATTGGCAACAGCAATTTTTAGCACAACACAGTGTTGCAACATTTTTGTGACATTGTTTTGAATAGTTATGAATAGTTACAACATTGTTCCAACATTGCAACGCTGTGTAGCACTAAAAATCGTTGTTGTGAATCGTATCGTGTAACATCACCTTAATGGGCTTGGTTATGGTCATGGCAAGTTATCTTGTAACATAAATCATTCACCAAGACAAGCAAGCACATGTGGGAGCCCTGTAATTTGGTTTTTTTTTTTAGCCCTGATACATTAGGACAATTTTTATACAGTTCTTTTCTTATGTACATCATATACCCAGAGGGGCTGGATATTTGTCTCTCAGTTAATGCATCTAGCATAATTAGGAGGTGAAGTCCAGTGCACTGTTAGTTTGTGAATGGAAATAGCTTGCGAATATGTCTGTTATAGATATTACAGGATAATATATGTAAACGTAAATATATGAAATTGACTCATATTTTGTAAGTATATTTGTCTGTGTATATTCAAACAAACAGTTGATCAGGAGAGAGATCTACTTTTATAACACACTAAGTAGGCAGTTCATCCAGATGGGTGACCTATCTGTTTGCTCACAATTATTTAAGCACTAACAGATTTTATGACCCAAAGGGCCTTCCCTAACTTGTCCTAGACAGATCATAAGTCATCATTAAGCCAACCTCTTATGCATGTCTCAAATTAATAAATTACAACCTTATCTTTGATGCCAGTTCTTTTCTTATAATGTCAACTTCCTTCTTCTCCTGTTCATGTCTCATTCTTAAAATCTCCAGCACAGTTATCTCTTGTTCCTCATCGCCTCCTGTCTCCTGTTTGTGTTTGCCAGACCCAGTCCGCTTCTTTTGATTCATTTGCTTTGGTTTGGGGACATTCTTGGCATAGTTTAAAGCCTATAGAATAAAGTAAACAATAATAAATTATAGTGTCAGTTGTAGCAGCGACTACTACTTGAATTCTTTTTGTTACAGTGCAAAACAGTTTCTCTTCCCCTCAAATCAATCAGATTACAAAGCAAGCAAACAGAAAATTAAAATTACAGACCATAAATGCCTCACTTAGAGGAAGTCTAAGAAAACAAGGCTGACACTAAAGGTAAAGCCTGCATTTGAGTTAAGTGGACGAACAGAACATAGCTTATTCCCCTTCCCAAAGCATGAAATGACCACTAGGCCCTGGACAGGTTGCTATCCCATCACAGGGTTATCTGGGAATCCCCAACAATAACATTTTTATAAACCCTTTTAAAGCACCGCAGCCTCAGAATATTAACATTGACATTCACCACTTTACTCTCCAATAAGATGACAATTTTTTTCATATACTAGTACCTGGAATATTTTCCACAACAGCAGGCACTTTCATTGGGCCCTTTCAAAGTCTAACTGAAACAACACTTTTCCCATCCCACCCCCAACCCCGCAAAACAGTCTTGGAGAGGGCAATGCTGCAACCTCTATGACGACAGAGGGTAACATTGACTGACTTAATTTTAATATTATTTTACCTCAAATTGCAATCTTTCCCTTGGGGCATTTAATGTTCCCCTGGGGACAAGACATTATGTCTTTAATAATATTAACTTGCTTTAGCGTGAATTGTCACTTGCCCTCTTGTTATACTTACTGCCTCCCTCTTCTTCTCTGCCTCAATCACATGATTGGCCTTAACTGGGGCAGAAGCAGCTCCTTTTCTTCCCCACTGCTTTCTTGACGCTGAATGCTGAGCTCTCAACATTGTAGCATACTCTCTTTGTTTATTTATTTTCTTCATCTACAAAGTAATGAAGAACATAATTATTATTAACAACTGCAGATATAGCCCACAGACTGCAGCTGCATTAGTCTGATTCTCAGGTCACTCTGAGAACCAGGCTACAGCTTAGCTTGCAAAAGGCATTGTCTGCAGAAGATCAAAGAGATATGCATGGCTGACTATTAACATCCTTTGGTTATTGTTTAAATGGCTAATGCCCTTATTACCTCTTTAGAAGTTTTTACATCTGTAATAATAAATTCCCAAGTTTTTTAATAACACTTTATGGTGGTGTAATAACTTAACACATGGTCGGTATTATTTTCATCTATGCCTGGTTCGAGTCCAGATTTCTTTCTTATCCTGCTGCTAAAAACAACCTTGAAAATTCAACCAAGGGATCTTGCCATTAATTCAACGTCTTGCCAAAACTACTGACTTTCTCAAAGATTTAACTTAACATGAATCTTATCATCTACATCAATTCTGAGTTTGCTCTTCATAGCATTTCAAATGTTATTTTTCTTTAGTTATTGACATTACTTTTTCATTAGGAAGAAGAGTTAACTGTTTGATTATGTCTTATAACTACAGTTTGGTCATAATCAGGGATGTCACTAGGAGCTGAATGCCGGCTAAATGCACCAGCTGAAAAAGACCTTATAATCGGCTCTAACTGCTCTGAAAATTAAAGACATGGGGTAACTTTGAAGGAGCAGTCAAGTGAAAAAGCCTGCTTGACTATTAAAAAGGATTGCCGTAGTAAGCTTTTCCTAATAGCTATTCCTGGATTGGAGAAAGCTTTGAAATGGTTGACCAGCAATTCAAGGCCTTTACCTTTTCCTTGAAATCATCAGTGTCAATATTTGGTCCCAAGCCCCCAGCCAACGGCTTGGCCTTTGAACCAGCAAGGTTCTGGTAGTCCTTTAAAGTATATGGTTTGTATTCAAAAGGCTGTCGTAAATTAGAGTAGCTTCCAGATGCCTTGCTGTTTCTACCAACATTTGCTATATTCTGCAATGATGTAGATCTTGATTGAGCTAAATATGGATCTGAGGAAAACTTTCTATGGAGACTGGATTCTGGTATTTTAAACCCTTTATCGGACTCATCATGTGGTAAAACTGTTGACTGATAATAACCCTCTTCACTGAAATTTGAAGTATGTAAACTGTTAATTAATGGTTTGCGTTCATAACCATAAACTCCTGGAGGTGCTGACTGGGTTGATAAACTCTGATGGTACAATGATGGAACAGGTTTCTGACTTAAATACCCCATTGCACTTCCATAACCTCTACTGTAAGTTCCAGTTTGGTCAAAATAACTCGACTGGTGAGTGCTATCATATAGTCTAGAATTTTGACTGACATCATAATATGGTCCATGATTTTGAAAAATATCATGTGTACCGTTTGAATAACTGTTTTCTAACAAAAAGCTTTCCTGTTGTTGTAAATCAGCGCTTGTGTTGCTCATAGTGTCACCATGGGGAATTTGATCCACATGATCACTTGGAAAATTGGTATTCTGATTAAAATTCCGTTCTACACTATCCAGCTTACTCTCTGAGTTAAAACCTGGTGTATTATCCAAATTCTGGTCTCCTTCAACATTGGCTTTCTTTTCCTTATCTTTATTGAGTTTATTTCTTGTCTTGATTGCATGCATTTGAGCATAACTAGCCCTCTGGGATGCTCGCTTGCCAACTTGTTCCTTGTTTCTTTCGATGATGTGCTGTGGTCGACGTGGTTTAGGAGCTTTCTCGGCATTTTTACTCTTGTCATCAACAGGATTTTCATTTTGTGCCGGCGTTGAACTCTTCGGATAATCAATAACTCTTTCGAGAAATCCCAAAGGTGAGACTGTATGATCCTTTCCAATTAACTCCTCGGTATCAACAACATCGCCAATTACTTCTCCGCTTTCTTGCAATTTCGTCGAGTCGAGAGAATCGTTTAAAGATACATCCAAGCTGTCGGCCACCATCCCTACATTCTGCCGTTCGTCGTTGAGATCGACTTTACTTGGCACAGCACCTTTGTCCAAGATTTGTTCATCCAATATGGCAGCCAAAACAGTTGGCGATGCAAATGTTGTTATTTTACCCTCCACAACTTCGTTGTTTTGTTTTTCTTCGCGGTTTTCCATTCATGGAACATTAAATGTAAATAAAGCTGGATTTTTGTTTTCAAAGCGAGGTGTAAAACTGAATATTAAAGAGAAATTTAAAAAGGTACATTTTCTGTTCCAAGGTGCTTGAAAACAAAGAGTGTATACAACTACCCATAATGCAACACTCGTTGCCACGGACAGGATCATTTTTCAGAGGGAGGAGTAGGTGGTGTCTTCTAAGGGGCATTTCTGCGGCTGACACGTTAATGCCACCATATTTTTATTTACCCACCCCCGCCTATTTTACCATTTTTCCTTTGTGCTTTAAAATATTCCTATGAAGAAAGACACGAGCTTGAGGCTTGGAGCTTGAAGGTGAAATAATGGCTTTTTTCAGAAGCCTGCTTTCTTTCTTTGACTTCTTTCCCGGGGTGGGGGGTGGGGG